GGTATTTGCTTACAATGGCTACCGCTGGTTTCCCTGCGAGCTGTTTATTTTTCCAGGCCTCAAGTCATTACATCAGTCAGCGGTTTCTAGGCAGGCCAAGAGTGCTGGCTTGGGGGGTGGAGGAATCCAGCCAGGAGGTGCAGATGCCTCAGTGACCCCAAGTCCTAGTCATAGCAGCTATCCCAGCAGGAACTTCCTGGGTGAGGAAGGAGCAATCCAAGACGTGGTCAAGGGGCCTGAAGCAGGCCTAGAAGAGCTGCACTCTGACACTGTGAACAGCTTACCTGTGACAGGTCAGGTGACTTGAGCAAACACAGTCACAGTCATGCACGAGGAGGCCAGGGTGTCACTTTCATGGTAAAACTTAAAAGAAATGCATTTCCACCTTGTGTCTGTGCTGATGGCTGTGTCTCCAGGGAGCAGAGTCACCATGAGCTGCTCCCTTCAATGATGTAGAAAAGGAAGCGCTGTGGGTCTAAGAGGCAGGGGAGGAAAGGCATGGCCCTTTTGGATTTAACTCACAGGGCCAGGGTCTAGGGCCTCCTTGAAGTCCTTGATCAGATCATGGAAGAAGTTAACTGGAAAAAAACAGGGACAAAGGAAAGAAAGAGATGACAAAACAAAGAGGGAAGTCACACCACTCCACTCCACTTGAGGCCACAGAGTCAAGCCCCCAGGGCAGAAGGAAATGAGTGGTGGGCCTTGGGAATATTACTATGCTGCACAGAGAAGAGCTGCATGACCATATTTCCTGAGAGATTATACTTGCCCAGAGGAGAAAGGGTGGAAGTTTTTCATATAGAAACAAAGATGTAAATCAGAGCCATAGGAAAGTGCCTGCACATAGTCAAATTAGAAACATGAGAAGATGAGATGAAGAACTAGATGAAACCTAATTCTTGTCACTTATTTCATATCTTTATCATCTGTAACATGTAGATGGTAAAAAAATATTTTAAACACTAGGTATATTAAGAAATGCCTTGGTAACCAACCCCTGATTTAAAAAAAAAAAAACTTAGCAAGCATTCATATTTCCTTATAAAAGCAGAACAGAGGCTCCATCCAACATTCATTTATGGGAAGATGTGGCTCTCGAGTTCTAGGGTATTAGCTGGCCAGGTACATTGTCTTCCTGAATGCGAAAGGAATTCCTGGTGCGCTGGAGATGCAATGGAGGAGAGGTTCAATGGAGGCAAGAACTGAAGAGAAGAGTAAAGAAGCAAATCTGTCAATGCTGAACCTGCCAAGTACTCAAAAGGTGACACTGACCGTAGTGAACACATGACAAAGCCTTAAAAACAAGAGCCAAAACTTCCAGGAGCAGAGAAGGAGACTAGGAGAGTCTGCAGGCATATGTGTCATGTTATTGCAAAACTTCAGCTGCCCAGTGGAACCTTTCCAATGTCAACAGTCTCCAGGCCAGAAAACAAACCTGGCGTCACAGGGTCTGAATGTGAAAAAAGGATGTGTGGGGTGTAAAAGAAACTGGGATAGCTTTTTGCCTCTGAGAGACAGCTGAGAAGAAGAGCTCTCAACCCAATGGGCTTCACGGAGTCCCATGGCAACCTCCCCAGGGGAATGCAGGCTGAAGCACACCTGAACCCAGGATAGTCCATCAAACTCAATGAAAAACTTTCTCAGGTGTTTGGCCAAGAGGCTCCAGTCCCTACTAGAGCCAAATATCCAGATATAAGTTATCATTAAGGTATATTTGACTTCTCGTTAAACCAAATATGATAACACGTGACAAGTGGCTAGCAGAAGACATAAAGATATTCCACCAAGAGTCACTAGTGTTTTGTTGGGTATAAAAAATCATTTATGGTGTACCTACTATGTGTCAGGCATTACACAGATGCTCTTGAGTCCTCACAAAAAAATCCTGCAAGGCACTAAAACTTTGTTTTACATATAAGGAAATCAAGACTCAGGGAAGTTAATTAACTTTCCCAAGCTCACTAAGCCTCTCAGTGGGAAGCTAGCATTGGAAACCAGGTTATAGGTTTGTCTGACACCAAAGTCCATGATTTTGCCATTACATGGTTTATCTCCGCTACATGCGAAACTTCAGCTGCCCAGTGGAACCAGTTGTGTAGTGGAGATAAACCATGCCTAAGAAAGCCAAACCTCAAGATGCTTTTTTGGCAACCCGTTTGTGGCAGCATGCACCAGACCTGGACATTAAAGCTTGGAAAAGGTTTGTGTGAGATGGTGAAGAGCCTTGTGAGCTGCCTCAGAGCTCCTGTGCTGATGCAGGCTTACCTGGGCATGTTAGGAAGCATCCTCCTGCCTGGTCTATGAGATGGGCCAGAAAACTTAAGTAAGACATCCCCAGACATCCTCATACACACACTCCCATCCAAATGCTTCTATTTCAATCATATATGCCAGAAGCCAGAAAGCTTTTCTATAAAGGTTCAGATGATAAATATTTTAGGCTTTGCAGGCCATACAGGGTCTGTCACAACTATTCCACTCTACTATTTAGATGAAAATGTTCACAGACACTACACAAATATATGGCTGTGGCTGTGATCCAACCCAACTTTATTTTCAAAAACAGGCAAGCGACCATTTGACAACCCGTTACAGGTCTTTGTGGCACCATATATTTAATATATAATTATATCAAAGAGATTGATAGGCATTCAGTTAATATTACCAGTTGATCACGATGGAAAAAGTTCCAGTTTAGTAGGAGATTCCTAGGTCATCCATCTCTAACAGTTATCCCTGATCTCAGTTTCTCCCAGGGAACTGTTAGGTCTCTCCCAACTATCCTATCATATACACTAACCTTACAGATATAACTGGGGTCAGCCAGAGAAAAATAAAGGTGGCCAGGCCACCCCAGCAAAAGGAAGGTGGATGGACCTGTCCAGAATCCTTTTCTCAACATGACCCTATTCTCATCCAAATGGAGAGTAGGAATGAAAGCAGAAGAACTTCAGCAGAAGCAAACATTATCAACTGACTTCGACCTCACCACTTTACTACATGCAGAGAATACAACCAAAGAAGACAGACATTCTATTTCCAAGGATAACTAGTTTTCTCCAGCCCAACCACTCCCTAGCTGTGACTCAGGACAAGTTACTTCCTCTGTCTCAGCCTCTGACTCTTCATCTGCAAGATGAAGACAAGAACAATAGCTATCTCAAAGGGTTATGGTGAAGCTCAAGTGAGATGACAAATGTAAAGTTCCACAGGACCTGACACAAAGTAGCTATTATGGCAGTGCTATTCTAATTTTACTGATAATAATGATGATCTTTTCTCCTCCATCATTCCCCAAAGCAATCAAATGCATGGGTAAGTGAAAAAGAAATTCAAAGAAGCAACTGTTAAATGCCAAGTGAGTGTTTCAGGCAAAAAAGTGCTGTATATTACAACTCAGAGAGCTCACCTTCGTATCTTCCATTTGGTCACAGAATGAGAATTAACTCATGGGGGCCTTGCAGACCTTTCAGGGCCTCAGGGACTAGGAGACCAGTTGCAAATGTTACTTCCACCATCAGGCACTACAGGAACCAAAGCCACTTCTATTTGATTTATATTTGCCTAACAGGGAAAGGGGAATGGAGGGGGTCCTAAGAAGAAGCCTAATAGATGCCTTTGCTTAAGGTGACAATCATAAATTCTTTCTGATTGAAGAATTTTCAAAATAAGCACCATCATTACTATTCCCATTTTTCATACCAATAATAATGATAATAGTAAATACATGTACTTACAATTTATCAGTTAGCCAGGCATCAATTGAGTGTCATATAGACACTAACTTAGTTAACGTTTAACCATAGTCCTTTGAGGGAGAGATTGTGATCCCATTTTACAAATGAGAATTGAGGCTCAAAGAAATTATATGACTTGACTGGGGTCACTAAATGTTGGAGCTAGACTGTGAACCCAGGTTTCACTAATTTAAAAGCCTGTGCTTTAATCACTGCACTCTTCTGTCAAAGACTGACTCAAGGGAGTTCACAGTCTCCTTTCACTCCACCATCCCATATCTCCAACTTTTATCAGTGAACAGACACATGAAAAGGCACTGACAAGCCCAAGTCACAGAGGAACTCAACTGATGGCATTTGAATTCACCTCCTGGTCTATATCATTCCTTGCATTCTAATGCCACATTACCACCATTAGGACAGAGTTGGTGAACAGGTCAACTTAAAGGGGACCAATGACAGGACACTCATTAATTAATGGTCATGTAAAATTCTGCCCGCTGGTTCAAAGTCATATATCTTTTATCCATAGTCTTGCCACCTATAAGGAAAAGATGATATGGCTAAATTCAACAACCAGGCATAAATTATGCAGAGTGGTATTTCTCATAATGAAGTCTTTGGTTGAAAAGATGATCCTCCTTGATAGAGATACAGATTTGGCTTGTGAACACATTTTCCTGTTGATGAACATTTAGTCTTTATTGATAGTAAATGGACTTTACTGATATTAAACAGAGTCTACAAAATAATCCTACAAATATGATCACCCTTCAAAAATTATCATCTTTCTACAAGGGGTTTGGCCAGTGCTCAAACTTGACCACTCACAAGACCCCCTAAAAGATCAGACCAGAGAAGATCAGACCAGAGAAGACATGACTGTAAGCAGCTATTTAGAGCCTTCAAAACACACAGAATCGACTCCCTCCAGGATTGAAGTCCAACTTCTTTATGTCCAGTCATTCTTCTTTCAAATTCTTCTGCATGGCATATGGAAAGTTAATCAAAATATTACAATATATAGTCAAAAAAATTGTTAAGAGGATCAACGACCTAAGAAAGATGATCCCTGAGATGATAACTGAATAAAATTAAAGTTGGAAGGGATTAACACATTCAATCTCTTTATTTTATAGCTATAGAAATTGACAACCAGGCAAATTAAATGACTTTCCCAAATCCACACAATAAGAAGTCACAGAACCATGGGGCAAAGAAGGATGAATTGGGTACGTATATAATCCAAGGAAGGTTATTTACCTGAATTTCTTATGTTGGTGTTGTTCAGTTTGGAGTCCTTGATCACCAAGTGTTTAATCCATAGAGTTGGAGCTGTGATTTCTAGGGGTGGGGAAAAAGAGAGAGAAAAAGTCTGGGCAAAGAGACCATGTGAGTGGAAGTGTAACCTCAGACTTCTTAATAGCCATTTTTCAAAGTCTGAGGCATTGAGGCTTCAGTTCTCTCCCACATCCACTCCTCCCAGTTCCCCTTCCTTCCTCACAACGGAAGCTCCTCTCCCCAGCAGCTCATAAGAGCTGATCAGGGCATCCTGTGCTGGGAAGAGAGTGGTCAGAATGCAGAGGTGCTGAGCACTCCATCCAGGAATAAAAATATTATCCCAGGAGGTAAGGAACATGGGCCAAGCCAAGTCCCTCTCAGCTGCTTCCCTGGGAGAAGATTTAAAGGGGATAAATCAACAAATGAACGCCAAACAAACCACAGAGACCATTCTAGAGGAAAAGGCTGAGCCGAGACTGCTCCAGATGGGAAAGAAAGGAGTGCATCTCATGTGTGCTTCAATCCCCTTTCTAATGGCTTCTCATGCGCAGAGGCTGGATTCCTCCATCCAGAGAGTGCCAGGGTGCCTACAGGCTCTCCAGGATTTGGTCACTCAGTGGACAGGCGGGAATCCTAAGTGACCCTGAGTATACTGTGGAGTGACCTTCAATGAGGGTATTGGGGAGGTCTCCCAAGATGAGACAGTCTCTGTCCCTCACCTGAACCCCCAGGGTCCCAGACTTGTCAATCATCCAGGACCTCTGTGGATCACAGAGACATCTACATCTAAACTTTCAGACATGAGCATACAAACCTTCCCATAAGTGAGCTGACTGTAAAGGATATTGTACATTTCAATCTTCCTCAGAACTGAGCTTGTGCTAGGGACATCCATAGATAGCCACAGCGTGAACCCGTGGCATGATTTCTTTTTATTCTTCTGTCTCTCTGTCCGGTCTCATGATCCAGGACTGGATACACTTAGCTAGGGGCTGCTCAGTTTGCTACATATTGCACTAAAATCCCAACCTTATTGTCATATTTTAGAGACTTTACTCTGCCAAACTTCCAGTTCCTCATCAGGGGAATATGGAGTACTCAGTACAGTACACTGCAGAGTACAGGCCCTGAGCACCCCAACTTAAACCTTCTGCACCCTGCACTCCTATCCTCTCTATGCCTCCAGAGACTTCCAGCCTCTCTTTTGCCACCAGCCACAATTTCTCTTGACCTAGAATTTCTCTTCTCCAAAATGTCCTGCCTCAACTCTCAACGTCCCTACAACCTGCACAAATCAATCCCACTGGCCAATCTCCTTCCTGTGACTTTCCTCACTGTATCCCATCCCTACCTCATTCCCCTCTTGTCCATGCCAGCCCCTTGCCTGGAACACCCAGACTCCTCCCCTCCACTTTAAAGATCCAGCTCAAGTCCTGGCTCTTCACGAAAGCTTTTCCCAGACCATGGTGATCTCTTGCTTCCGTAAATGTCTACGACAATAAGAACGGAGACCACGTAATTTAACACATAAAGCACTCTAAGAGTTGCAGCTGCCTTGAGAGCAAAGGCTTACATCTCCAAACCTCCTTTTCATCCCCCAGAGGGGCTCACACAGTGCCAGGCACAGAGTGGACACTTGTAAGTGCCAATTAATTTACTGAAGGGACACTGCCGGCCTATCTTTCTCAGCCGTGATTCCTGGGTCTTGGCAGCTCCAAGGGTCTGTCCAGGCTGTGTTATTGTTGGACACCAGGAGACAGGCAGGAAGCCTGAGAGAACAGAGGGCCCTTCCAGAAGTGGAGAGTGTACCAGTTCCTGGGAGGATTTGCATTTTTTAAAAAGGTTAAAACAACCCAGCTTACACTGGGAAAAATTGAAATTAAAAAAGAAAATAATAATAATAAAACTTAAACAAACATCCAGCGTTAAGACCTTTCCCAAACCTGAAAATGAGTGGGAGAATGAACATCCGAAGTAATGCAAGAGCTTACCATCTCCATCGAACACCGGCTGGGTCTCCATCGTGGGTGTCGGCTTAGATCCGTCATCTGAATTGAGGGTTAAAAAGAATCGAAAGGAGACTACCATTATTGAGGTAAATACTATCTACTCTCCAGCACTGTTGAATGGTTGGGGTTTGTACAAGGCCCGGCCAAGTCCCAGTGAAGAGACCAAAGATAAAGAAACAAAAGAAGAAAAGGGCAAGAAGGAAAAGAGAACCACAGACAGACAAAAGAGCAAAACAAATCCAGGTTTGTGTTCACCACCCCAAGGCATGAACGAGAGGAGCTAAAGCTTCATGGCTTTGGGGAACCGTTTCTCACAAATCTGAGGATACCAGTATGACTCTGCTGGCCCTTGTTCCCACAGGAAAACTGGGAGGCAGTATCTTCTGAGTTAGCCCTGAGTTATGGCCAAGCATGTTAGGATAAGGTTGGCAATCCTTATGGCATCAAATTCTGGTGTCCCCAGCTCCTTTCCTGCCCTAAAGCTACCAGCTCGGTGGCCCTGATTAAAGAGTTCAAGGAAAACAAGAGACCTATGTGCTATTCCCTTCCAATCTCCTCGCTGTTTCTCCACTCTCACCTAAAAAAGATAAGAAGGTAGGAAGAACCATTCTCTCTCCAGCACACTGAATTGAAGAGAATCAGGTATCATTAGAATACTTCTAACTGTGAAATAGCAAACACCCCAATTCCCAATAAGAGGGAGGGCAAGCAAAATGGGAGAGGACATGGGACTTTGCAGAAATCACCCTACACTTGCTTTGAAATTTCTAACATAGATGATTGGAGCAGGGAGCTCCCAGTAACAAAGTCCTAATGCTTATCATTCTAATAGTGTTGGCAGTCCTCTCTGCACAGCAAGAACCTCTGCAGGTCAGGAGTTAGTGCAGACTTTGTTTATTTACCTTCCAGGACTCTGAGTTCTTTCATCAGGGCCCCGAAAACCTTAACTTAGAGCCATGTTTCTCAACCTTTTTTCCATTATCACTCATCTAAGGAGCATTTTTAGGTAATTTTTTCTGAATCATCTCCCTAATGAAATTTTAGTAATGCAAATAAACTGTATATGTATGTTTGCTTCATATGTAAAATGAGTGTTTTTCATCCCCTAAGAAATAATTTTACCCTCTTAGAGAAGGCTGGGAGAGGGTATCTTTGTCCCTCTTAAGGATACATAGTTTAAGAGATTTCTCTCCATGTGGGGAGGGAAGGGGAGCACTGTTGTCCCAGGTGGTTTGATGGTTATACCATCCTTCTCTTCTCAAGGCCCCTTAGAGGTCTTTTAGGATGGAACACTATATTCTCGGAGCATTAACTATTTATGCAGAATGCACATTCTCAGATAGTCTCTGTGACGCCAGTCAGATCATCAATAATAACAACTCTCTACCATTTGGAGCTCTCGGTACCTTTGGCCGACTTTCCTGCATCTTACTGGGGGAGGGAGAGAGAATACAGAGTCCTGATCTCTTTTTTGCATCAACATCTCACCCTTGGGAGCTTAAGATTCAAGAGCTATGGAGACTCTAACCCTTGCTAGAGGCTGAGGCCAGCAGCTGAGCTGACAGTCGTGTGACACCTAACCCTGCTATTATTCTCATATACTGACACTAAGACCCAACTCTTGCAGGAGCCAAAGTGATCCTGAATCATCTGACAATCATCCCAAGAAATGAGATGTAGCAGGAAGAGAAGAGTATCTATGCTGGATATGTTATTTGCCTCAAACTGGAGTCCAAAACAGGCATCTTTTGATGCCAAACTGTGTGAGTTTGATCTGGAAGTCATTGAGGGAGAATAAACACAGAACAGAGCCACACAATGTCATTTTTTTAATAGCATCACTTCCCCTGACTCTATTAACACCTCTTTCCATTGAATTCAATGAGCCACTGAATTGAGTCTTTTGGCAGCTGCAATGCACATTTGGTTGTGCCTGCCGGATACAGAGTTCATAGTCTAAATAGTCCAGCACAGTGTGCTCAGCCGTTCCACACAGGGTGGCTTCATTTTAGGAGTCTTACAGGCTAACAAAGGGAAAGTGAAAAATCAAACATTCCAAGAGGGATGATAGTGAGAACTCAAGTGCATATGGCTTATGTAATATTTTAATACTCAATGTAGGTATTAAAATCCTCCCATATCACAAGAGCTGTATCTCTTCTCTGGAGCAAGATAACTGAAAACATTCTGTTTATTTCTCCCATCATCCAGATGAAAATCTTGGACTGCCCATCTGGCCCAGCCATCGGCAAAGGTGGTCTGCACTCAAGGAGGGCAAAGAAAGTTTTCTGGGGAAGCTTTGCCCTTTTGCAGGTCAAGGAGTTCCACAGATTTCCCAGATGCAGTCAGAGAAGCCCATGAAGCATAAAGCCACGTGCAGGGAAGGAATCTTCCTGCAGGGTAGGGTCACTGAGGGTGAAGAGATACAGCTGGTCTGCCACAGGGAGGTCCTAAGTGGAAATCTTTATGAAGTGAGAAAAGACAAGGTGCCCTGCTGCCAGGAACCACCTGTGAAATCCAGCATTCTCAAAGGCTGGGAAGCCAAGCCAAAGCGAACAGCACCCTCTAACCATCATCTCCGGGCACCTGGGCTCCTGGCTTCTGACCCAGCAAATAAGAGCACCTCTCCTACCAAACACAAGTCCAAGGCCTAGATCCAAGGTCTACATCAGTTCTGTTTCCAGGCAAGCCCTGGAGCAACACCAGGCCTCACACTGGGTCCTGGGGAGAGAGCAAAGTTTCTATGTGTGCTCCTGCCTCCCAGTTTCAAGGGGAGTCACACTCCAATTCCCCCTTTACATTTAACAGTTTACATCGAATACATCTAACACTCTGGATAAGTTGAGCCCCTCCTTCTACTTCTCTGGATAGCAATATCCTCTTCTGAAACTGAAGGATACTTGCCCACAAAAGGGACCCTTTTTTGTGTAGGTATAAAACACTTTAAAGGCCTATTAAAGGGTATCTATAATTCCATGAGTGCAAACCATCTTATTCAACTGCTTACTTTTAAAATTGGGTTTACAAAATTAAAATCCTATCAAAGTTTTTAAATTGAAAATAAGGTAAACCTTACAACTCAATAACAAGCAACCTTATTTAAATATGGACAATATATTTTAACAGACATTTCACCAAAGAAGAGATACGGATGGCTAATAAATGCATGAAAAGATACCCAATATCATTAATCATTAGGAAGGTACAAATTAAAACCACAACAAGATACTTCTAAACAGCCACTAGAATGGCTAAAATAAAAAGATAGACAATATTAAGTGTTGGTAAGGATGTGGAGGAAATGGAACCCCTGTTCATTGCTGGTGAAAATGTACAACTGGGCATCTGCTTTGGAAAGGAGTTTGACAGTCTCTTTAAAAAGCTAAACATAAACTTTTCAACCCCAAAATTCCACTCCTAGAACCCATCTGGGAGAATAAAAACATGTCCACACAAAGACATGTATAGAAATAGTCACTGCAGCATTATTCATTAAAGCTTCAAAATGAAAACAATCCAAATGTCTGTCAACGGGTGAATAGATAAATTGTGATATATCCATATGGTAGAATACTATTCAGCCATTAAAAAAGAACAAATAACTAATACATGTGACAATATACATGAAGAATCTCAAAGACATTATGCTAAGTGTAAAACTCCAGATGTAAATATCACATGATTCCATTTATATGAAATATCTAGTAAGGCTAAATCTATAGACACAGAAAACAGATCCGGGGGTGCCTAGAGCTACAGGTAGGAGTAGAAAATACCTGTGAATGGGTTCAAGGTCGCTTTTGGGGGTGAAGGAGATGTTCTCTGGTGACAGTTGTACAACACTATGAATTTATTAAACTCATTGGGTAGTACATTTACAATGAGTGAATTTTATGGTATGTAAACTATACTTCAATAAAGCTATTAAAACAAAAAAGGAGGTGTGCCCAAGTCATCACAAATAAATCATCAGGCAGCAGCAGCTAGATTAAGTGGTCCTTAATTTGGGGGAAGACTCTTCCATCCGTTTTAAAGAAAAATATATCTGAATCTGTATATGTATGTGATGATGTTTGGTGCATATTCTTCGCGATTCTTTTGGACCTCAGAGAGTATTTCTCTTTAACACTATAATAATCTTTCAGATTTAGAAGAGGATAAACACTTAAAAAAAAAAAAAAAAGCCAATTCAAAGATTATCCTTTTTCTTACAGGGAGGGAGAAAAAAGGCAAATTTGGAAACACGAAAACAAACAAATAAATAAGGCAAACCGAAAGCATTCTCACGGAGGATGTCAAGAGCAACAGTAATAATAGTATTGCCACATTTTGCAACACTCAGTTCCTGGCAGGTAGCTTTCCTCATCTATTCTCACCACTAGCCAGAGCGGAGGGAGAAGCCAGGCAGATAAAAAGAGAATGGAGTAACAATGCAAGTAAGTGATTTGATCAAGGTCCCAGAGGCAGCAAGCAGCTTTGGAAACTGCCTGGTCCCAGAGCCCTGGAATTTGGCCTCCGGAGACTCCCCAACCCCCAGTCATGCCTTGTCCTTGCAGGTGCAGGCCCAGAAAGTTGCAGCCCCCGCATGGGCTCTGTGAGCCTATACAGACAGTGGGTTTGTGTGACAGCACAATTCCTTGCCCTGCGAGAAGGCCTGGCCCACGCACAGACAGCTGGAAGTCACTTCGACCCCCGATGACACCGTTCAAAGCCTCCTCTGTTTGGCTTTTTGATTCCTGATTGACATTCGCTGACGAGGAGAGATAAATGCCGGGCTGAGGACAATGTTGATCCTCTCAGACTATTCTCAGGGAAAGACTTTTCAGAATAACAAACAAAACAAAACAAAAACCCAAAAACATTGGTGTGCTTAAGGGACTGAATAGAGCCCAAGAGGTCCAGGGACGCAGGGCCAGGCCTTTCAAGGGGCTGGCAAGTCCATTGAGGAGTTAATTGTTTGGGTGTACAATGAGTTTATTCTGGCCACATACAAAGAGCTTTCTCTTCCAGGTCCTTCAAAAGCAAATGTCTCAAAGAGGCCAGAGGAGGAATCTGTATTAATGCATCTCTTG